GGCTTCTACAGAATTTAAGGAGTTAATTGAAGCACTGCATCAGGTGTGTTGATGCAAAGAAACAAGGAAAACATGCAGGATAGCTGCCCTCGAGGACCTGAGTTTGACATCCTAGAGCTAGATTTTCAGCAAATACGTGCAATCTGGAGAGTTTTTGAACCRTTGTCCTGAACGGAGGGTGGTGATCCCTGCTGTTCACAGCTGTTTGTAAGAAAAGCAAAACTCACTCGTGCAATACTGTGAGGTCACGAGAACGAGTGCAGACGATATCATATTATCAACGCTCAACAATAAAGCTGACTTTCATTCAGGGAAGTAACTGATAATCTTTTGTTCCAGCTAGAAAACCTTCATTCCTTTCAAGGAAAGTGCAAAGTTATACTGCCACACAGCGAGATTATTCTAGGTTAATATACAGTATGTTTCCATCAACATAGTTGCTAGTTTCTGTTGTTTTCTGTTTTTTATTTATTTATTTATTTATTTATTTTTGCTCATGCAGCCTTCCTAATGTGGCACATTTGCAGCTTGTTTCTGAAACCTGACCATTTTATACTTTCAGGGCCCGAGGACAGCCGTATCTGCTCTACGTTGCGTTGGCTCACATGCACGTCCCACTTGCCCCGCCRCTCTCTCCAGACTCCCACGCCTCTGCCCAGTACCCAAGCGATGGAACGTACTCTGCCAGTCTGCGGGAACTGGATGAGTTGTTTGGAACATTAAAAACAGCCTCAGATAAAGACAACACTCTTATCTGGTTCACTGGTTAGTCAGCTGTGATGGTTTATTTCTCCTCTACCTGAATACTATAAAGGGGTAATGAAGCATGTTTGTTTTAGGTGACAATGGTCCTTGGGAACAGAAGTGCCAGTATGCAGGAAGTGTTGGACCTTTTACTGGAAAATGGCAGACAAATAAAGGTCTAAAACACTTGAATTGAAAATAGGTTCATTTTGAAAACTTTAAAATTAGATTTTTGTGTGACTCAGCTGAAGATTTAAGACATTACTTTGAAAGGACTTCCTCGCTAAGTGATCTTTTTACCTGTGTGCTAGGCGGGGGTTCAGCTAAGCAGACCACCTGGGAGGGAGGTCACAGGGTGCCCACTGTGGTTTATTGGCCTGGACGAATCCCTGCAAACACCACCAGCTCTGCTCTGCTCAGGCACGCTCACTTTACCAACGTGTACTATTTACTACAGTACACAGATTTGTGCCGGCATGGTCAACAACCTTGTAGACAAGAATCTGACTCCATCAGAAAGTTAAAGTTACATTTGTCTGATATTTTAGCTTAGCAAAATTTATTTGAGTAAACAGTTTACATACAGAAAAAGTTTAGTTCTTAATTGACTGTTTAAGGCTACGTCTTGCTATAAGAATGTACTCAGATTTAGTAGAGAGGTGATGCACTGCTCTAAATGAGTCAAACGTAGTAAAGATTTACCATTTGGCCAGTAAATAATTGGTGTCAGACGTAAGTTACATACACCTAAACAAGCTTGTGGCAGCTTTCCAAATAAATTGACACAAAATTAACCAAAATGTTGATGCTGCAAATCCAGGTTTGTTTGTTGAGAAATTGAAAAATCGCCCATGAAGCAGCAGAATATTAAAAAATAAAACATTGTTCTGTTACAGGGAAATGAGTCCAAACACACTTCAAAAATTAATTATGTCAAGATAGAACGTTTTGCTATGTCCAGAGTTGTAAAGTAACTAAGTACAAATACTTTGTTACTGTACTAACCGGTAAGTAGAAATTTTGGTTATCTGTACTGTACTTGAGTAATTATTTTTCAACATACTTTTTACTTTCACTCATTACATTTTTACACAATTATCTGTACTTTCTACTCACTACATTTTTTAAAAAGGTAAGAAGTAGAAAGTCATTACTCCTATTTTATTCTGAGTTGTTACTTAAAAAATACTATCCTGATAAATTGTGTCTCCAGGATAGAGTGAATTTAATTGTGGTTGGACGAGAAGTATAAATATATACCATTCTGACACCATATTAGCTTGTACACAAACCATCACAGCTGCACGCCGTTAGAAAAAATATTTTTTGGAGAAGTCACCTCCCAATAAATGTCATTTTGGAAAATCCAACTGCTCACTTTTACTCAGTACTTTTACTTTTAATACTTAAGCAGATTTTGTGTCAGAAATTTACTTTTGATACTTAAATACAAAAAATATCAGATACTTTAAGACTTTTTTCAAGTAATATTTTTAGAGAAAACTAACTTTTACCAAAGTATTTTTATAATAAGATACTTGTACTTTTACTCAAGTATCACTTTGAGGTACTTTATACAACACTGGCTATGTCTTAAACGTATTTCATTCAAAAAGTTTTGTATTAAAACCAGAAGGCCGTTATGGGATAACAAAAAGTAGAAAATCTACAAATCTTATTTACTGACTAAATGAAACTACTCAGTGTTAAAATGGTTTTGCTTAGGACATTTGTTTTTTCTCACTTATCTACCGGTATTTACAATTTTAAAACAAATTGAACAATATCCCTTTTTTTTTAGCGGTATAAATGTGAATATGGGAGCACCCTGCATAGGAAACTAAAACCYTCTGTAGTGAATGAAAAACACACAAACATCTTGCCTCCTTTCTTACAGTGGGATGGACATCTTCCCTACAGTTCTGTCTCTGGCCGGAGTGACTCCCCCCTCAGACAGACGTTACGATGGCATCGATGCTACAAATATTGTCCTGCAGCGTGAACACACTGGCCGTGAGGTACAAATATAACAATATCTGTTTCAGCTGGTGCTGTAAGCTAAGGTTGTTTTGTCGTTTCTTCGACCAGTTTCTCTTCCATCCTAACAGCGGCGCTGCGGGGACGTTTGGAGACTTGCAAACAGTTCGAGCAGGAAAATACAAGGCTTTCTACATCACAGGTGATGACMGAATATGTGTCGTTTAAAACTCCTTTTGTAGTCATGTTTCTGAGCTACTACCACGCCTAAGTCTGTTAAACGTGTGTAAAATTGACTGAATTATTATTTTTGTGTTGTTGTTTTTTTTTTTTCTTGTTAACTAAGGTTGGTTCAAGATGGCAGCCATCTTGGACCAAGTTTACAGTAAAAAATAGTACATTCAGTAGCACTCAGAGTATATGTTCATCTAAAATACTACCACAACAAGTCTTAACTCAGTATCTGTAACATTCAGTGATGTTTGTGTTGGCTATGGTTGATAAGCTGCAGCAGCCATCTTGAATCAGATTAACTCTAACAGTGAATCAGTTCATTCTGTATCCAAGAATTAYATTCTGAAAATTTCAATACWATCTGTCCAGTGGTGCTAAGTGTGRTTAGCCATGGTGGACATCTTGAATTGGGTTTATGCCAAAAATGGATCAGGTGTAGATCAAATATTAATTTTTTATTTTGTTTGTTTCATTCAAATCCGTGCAGGCATGGTCAATCCTGGTCCCGGAGGGCCGCAGTCCTGCATGTTTTACTTTTTTTCTCTGCTCTAACACACCTGAATGG